AATGAATGGGCTGCTAGACCCATATCTTTGACTTGTTTTGAATGATTATATTCAAATTTTAAATATTCATTATACATCATGTCATAGATACATGTATATTGGTTTGATGATCCTATTCAAAATTGCCGAATGGTTGTCATTTTTGTGCTAAAAAATCATCAAATATCAAGCATTTCTGACATTTATGGATGGATTTCGTTCAAACTTGGTACATACATTAGAAATTACGGGTTCCTGATTTTTCAGATCAGATTTTATGAATGGGTTTCCAGACCCATATGTCTGACTTGTTTTGACTGATTATGTTCAAATTTTTAATATTCGTTATACATCATGTCATAGATATACGGATATATTGGTCTGACGATCCTTTTCTAAGTGGCCAAATGGTGGCTATTTTTGTGCTAAAAAATCTTTAAATATCAAGCATTTCTTGCATTTATGGATGGATTTTGTTCAAACTTATAACATACATTAGACATTACAGGTTCCTGATGCACATCATTTTATTTTTCAGATTGGATTCAAAATGGCTGACTGGCGGCCATTTTGTTTCAATGATTGGGTTTCTAGAGCCATATTTCTTAAATGTTTTGACTGATTTTATTTAAATTTTATATATTCGTTATACATCATGTTATATATATATATATATATATATATATATACATGCATTCAAAATGGCTGATTTTGAATGCTGTTCCAGAGCAATATCTCTCAATATGGACAAGTACTCGTTTGACGATCAGATACAAATGTCAATCATATTAATGTTAAAAAAAATCATATTCCTGACATGGTTATATTCCAGCTATATTACTATAAACAAGACTATAAATCTGAAATTTGATAACTATTGGGGACTGTGCCATGCATGGCTTGTCTGAAACTCAATTTATTCAAATTCTAATATTTAAATGAAAACAAAATGGTACTGTCATATAATTTAGTTTACCAGTAATTCTGTATGAGCTCTAACAAACCAGTTAGAATGCTATTCGAAGAAGAAAAAAATGTTGTTTACATATCTAATATTTCATGTAACAAGGATGAGGGGGTGAAATCAGTGCCAAAATTATTTTTATCTGCTTTATTTGAGTGTTTTCACCCTATACTATACTCAGTTCAGAGAAAGTCGATGTACAAAATGGAGTGAAAATATTATGTTGTGTCTTTTTTAGGGCATTTTACCATAATGATCGTTTCCCAGGGAACAAATATATTTCAAAATTTAACACAGTGATAAATGGTGTAAACAGATATATAGTGTCTTACATGGTATTTTTTGATGTCGAGGAGAATCAAAATATTGACAAAATTTTTAGAGGGTTTTAACAAGGAAATGTATTTTTATTGTGGTTCATGCTAAAATTATTATTCTCAAAAAAACAGATTGAAAGTAAACCAAAAAGTTCACTAATACTAATATGAATAATTGTAGACAGATTTTGACACAAAATATTGCCATATGTTCTAAAATATGCACACGTGTATTTAACTTGCATGTAGCATTCAACCTTGACATGCATGTCAACATGTTCAATGTGAGATATGGAGTTATTGATATTTCACCACTAATGCACTATGGTCATGTGATAAAATATACCATTCTTTTAAACTTGTATAGCATTTTGGAACAACAATTGTATAGAACCATTAAATTTTGTAAGTTCTTCATTTAGTGATATGGCATCAATTCATGCTGCTGTCTAGGTTTGGGTAATTGTTGTCAACAACGATAGTGAACAAGGACCCAAACTATGCAAAATTCAAAAGACACAAATGTTTAATGGTTGTACAATGATATCTTGTAATTGATCTGACAATAGATTATATTCTGACTTGTGACCTACGTTTTATACAGTTTTCTGTTTTACTCAAGTAATAATTGTAACTGTGGAATCCTTAGATATTGCTAGATTGGGCAACTGCATCACTTGTTATAGGTTTTTAACAACACATATATGTCCTTGAAATATGGTGGTAATTGTCGTATTCACATGGATTCTCTTCATATCTTGTAGGGTCCAATAGCTGCTGGCTTTTTTAGCTGTCCTGCTTTGAAGTTTGATGCACTAAACATAGCAATTCTTAGGAATTTTCCTTACCTTCTGCCATGTTTAATATGTATAATATTGTGTATTTTTGCATTAATCGGTAAGTGTATTAGGTCAATTTATCTTGCCACACCTCACTTGTTTGTTTTGTCTATTTTTTCGTATCAGTGAATTTCACCACATATGGTAGAATGGAGAAATGTTTTTTGTTTTGTTTCAGGGGATGCTTTTGTGGATCTATTCAAAAACATTATATTTTATATATTGTTTAAGATGCATTGTTCCTGGTCCCTGAGATGAAAAGCACAACCATTTGTTTGTATGGCCTTAGTGAATGCAGTACCATGATTGATTTCCCATATCGATGACATATCGATTATGTTTTTGTCGCCTTGGTCAAAGTAAAAAGTTGCCATATGTTTCTAATGATTAAAAATTAAAACACCTTTGACCAGTTTATCTGGGCTGGCTGTGTTTAAGGATAATAATCATTTATGACATCATAGCTATCAATAGACTGTATATTTTATACTTATGTATATATTCTCATTTACTAATTTTAACATTAGGTTCGTTTGTTTATCTGGAGGAAACAATGGCAGATATGACTGAAGTATATGCTGACATACCTGCTAGTCACAGTGACTTGAGGTCACCAGTTGAAGAACCAGCAAATGAAAATTTGATAAATCATAATCAGGATACGCAAGATATAACTAAGTACAGTATTAATACTCCTGATGATGAAGTGAATGTATCTAAGCGTAGAGCATGGTTTTGTTGTGGTTGCTGTCCTTGTGCAAAGAAAAGATACCATAGATTTGGGGAAAAAGGTATGGCCTTTAAAATCATCACTCATTAGTTTATAACATTCAACAGCTACTATCATATATTTGTGTAACAGTTTTAATTAGTATAAATTCTTATTTCCGGTTTCCTTCACATCTCCAACATTTTCTCAGAAACTCTGCAGCAGATATCGATGAAACTTGGCAGGTTGATTAACAAGTCTCTGTTGAATATGCACATAATCTTTTTCATGATTTTCATCCAAAATCACCTCTCCCAACAACACTAAGAAAACAACCTAGTATGCTTAGAATAAATAATTAGGTTAGATGGTAATACTAGGGTTTTCAGTGACATCATGACCTTGATCTGAATCAGTGACAGAAATGGACCACAGTCTGGTTTCTGTTTGGTTTTATGAAAAATTAATACTTAAATCTTTAAAAAAGTGGTCAGAAATGTTGTATAATATATCATAAAACTGTAAAAATTGCATTCCATTATAAAGAGCCATCACTGAAATATTGTACTCTAGCAACAGAAGCACTAGGACTAGTTGTTTGTAAAACATCATAATCTTTTTCCTGATGTCAAAAAAGACTCAATGGACATGTACATGTATACGCAGACATTTATGCAATTTGTTGCACAGTTTGTGGTGTTGATGGTCGATTTATATACAAGTTATTTTAACTAATTCATTTTAGGTGAATCTAATTTGTATGTCATCAATTTCAAGATGGCTGACACATAGTTGTGGGATCATTTTCAAAAGCATCATCACCTAACACACTGAGTGATTTGATCTACCAAGAGTTGAGTCAGATCTAATTTCAGGACTGTTTCAATGGACCAATAGTTCGTATTGTCTTCTGCTTCCTGTTAAAATGTCCATTGGCAAGGATATCAGCTTACTCATGTTTCAACGTCTGAGTGCATGATTTATTTGAAACCAAAGTTCTACACTCATCTGTTTCCTGGTGTTTACCAATCTTTTTTTGCTCAAATCGATGATTGTCTGTCTGTCTACATCTGTCTTGCATCTTTTATTTGTCAACTTTTCATATAAACGACAACAGCACCAGCTCTATTGCATTAATACTTGACACATGTATGTTGGGTGGCCTTTTGTCAGAATTATTCATTTTGTGACAATATTTTCAACTATGAATTTTTTTTTTGTTTTTTGAAAACTACCTGCTCGATTGCTTTGCCTCTGTAACCAAATAATAACATTTGCCATTGCAACAACTGTTATTTAATCTACTATGGCAAGAACCAGAAAGCCTTGTATTAAGACCATTCTGTGGGTTAGCTTAGATAGCAAAAGTTCCAGAATCTGGGGTAGATGTAGTGAAGTTTTTATAAAGTGTTTGACACAGGCCATTGCATGCATGAGGCTGTAGTCGCTTATGTCTGCACCTTACAAACCACAACAAGCAATGCCTTGTGCTGAATGGTCAAGAAAGATGATATTTTCATTCAAACTGGCTTCATGTAGGAGATGCAGTGAATTTCAAATAAACTTAAGACTTATGCTGTCACCTTTTTGGCTAACTATGTGTCTTGAGAGCTAACAATTATAGTTGAAACAAATAAATCTCTGATAGGAACTCACAATAAATGGGGTCTTAGCTTTGTGTCAAGTCATGAACAAATACAAAACCCAAGAAGCATACAACCTTGAATCATATATAGTTGGTCACTCATAAACTGGTCACTAATCTATGGTTGGTCACTCATATACTGGTCACTAATCTATGGTTGGTCACTCATAAACTGGTCACTAATCTATAGTTGGTCACTCATAAACTGGTCACTAATCTATGGTTGGTCACTCATATACTGGTCACTAATCTATGGTTGGTCAATCATAAACTGGTCACTAATCTATGGTTGGTCACTCATAAACTGGTCACTAATCTATGGTTGGTCACTCATAAACTGGTCGCTAATCTATGGTTGGTAACTCATCAACTGGTCACTAATCATATATGGTTGGTCACTCATAAACTGGTCACTAATCATATATGGTTGGTCACTCAAACTGGTCACTAATCTATGGTCGGTAACTCATAAACTGGTCACTAATCTATGGTTGGTAACTCATCAACTGGTCACTAATCATCTATGGTTGGTCACTCATAAACTGGTCACTAATCATATATGGTTGGTCACTCAAACTGGTCACTAATCTATGGTTGGTCACTCATAAACTGGTCACTAATCTATGGTTTTGTAACTCATAAACTGGTCACTAATCTATAATTGGTCACACATCAACTGGTCACTAATCATATATGGTTGGTCACTCATAAACTGGTCACTAATCATATATGGTTGGTCACTCATAAACTGGTCACTAAGCATCTATGGTTGGTCACTCATCAACTGGTCACTAATCATATATGGTTGGTCACTCATAAACTGGTCACTAATCATATATGGTTGGTCACTCAAACTGGTCACTAATCTATGGTTGGTCACTCATAAACTGGTCACTAATCTATGGTTGGTAACTCATCAACTGGTCACTAAGCATTTTATGGTTGGTCACTCATAAACTGGCCTCTAATTATCTATGGTTGGTCACTCATAAACTGGCCACTAATTATCTATGGTTGGTCACTCATAAACTGGTCACTTATTATATATGGTTGGTCACTCATAAACTGGCCACTTATTATCTATGATTGGTCACTCATAAACTGGTCACTAATTGTCTATGGTTGGTCACTCATAAGCATCTATGATTGGTCACTCATAACCTGGCCACTAATTATCTATGGATGGTCACTTATAAACTGATGGTCACTTATTATCTATGGTTGGTCATTGATAAACTGGCCACTAAGGCCAGGCTTTTTTTATTCCTTGTTTCTTGAGTTTTTATAAGGCAATTTTTTTGAGGAGGGCGGGAAAAAAAATAAAATTAATTCCTTTTCTTTCATTAGATTTATGTGATTCTCAAAGAATTGTAAGTGAGATCATTGATCGGAGCGAAGAAATGAAATAAAATTTTATTCCATGTACAACCTTGTTTCTCATCTGCGCAAGACTTCGGTACTTTGATCATGATAGTCCCACAAAAATGCAACTTTGGTTGTTATGCGGCGGGCGGAAAAAAAAAATGAAGTTTACAATAAGTTTTTTTAGCAATTTTTTGCACTTACAAGTCGGCGGACACGAGAAAAATTTACGCTAACATAAAATTTTATTTTTATTTCATTTTCGGCTCCTGCTCATTCGGCGGGTTCGCGAAACAAGGGATAATAAAAGTCTGGTCTAATCATCTATGGTTGGTCACTCATAAACTGGTCACTAATCATCTATGGTTGGTCACTGATAAAGTGGCCACTAATTATCTATAGTTGGTCACTCGTGAACTGGTCGTTGTAGTCATGTATGGTTGCTCACCCAAACTAATCTGTTGATGATAAATATTATTAGAATTTCAGAACTATTATGTTTTGTTTCATAGAAAATTCTTTAACATGTTTTGGAAGATGCAAGATTGGAGTTCATAAAATTGTACAACCGATGAAAGATAGACGCGTTTATCTCCTTACCATTATTCAGTGTCTATTAGCGTTTGTTGCTGGGGTTCATGCTGAGGTAATCAGTTCTGACACATACTACCAGTATAATAAAATAATTATATATTTATTTCTAAATTTATAGCAATTCGTATATTCATGAATAGAAAAGCTAAAAAATAAAAGTTAGTTATTATTACAAATCAAGAGAATGTTCATTTCTTCAAATGAAAGCTAATAATTGGAAAACATGACAATCATAATAGTAAAAAACATATGTATGTATAATTTATATTACCTGATCAACTTATCAAAGGATGGTATAGTTGCTCTACAGCTGTACTAAGTCATAGTTTTAGACTGTAAGATGCTCTCCTCCTGAATTTTTTATAGTTGATACCTTTGTTATTGGTTACTGATTATAAACATGGCGGTTATGACTTAGATACAAGTGAAATTTCCTTTATGTACAGTCTGATGTCTGTAATTGAAGTAATATATCAGGTAATGTAACACCATTGAATATTCACATGTTTTTCAGCAAAAGCAAAAATCACATAATTTAAAGCACCCAAAACTTTTATCAACATATTCTCACATTATGCTTTCAATTGGATGGTCTACATAATGATGCTGGAATTCATTTTTTTATAATATTAATTTTTCTTTGATTGTTATGAAGATCATATTTATTCGTTTGTTAAAACAACCTGATTTTTATAGTATTTTTAAAGAGGAATGATTTATTTTTGTTTGTATGTTAGCTTGCTGTCTACCCATCCATTGTAAAGAATATTGGCTTTAAACATACGCTGAAGGTTGGACTTGTTATGTTTGGAGTGACTGCATCATTAATACCAACATTGAATAGAATTGCTGGACCAATTTCACGACCAAGTACGCACAACATCACCATTTTGTTGCCATTGAATACTGCATCAGCAGAAGAGATTACGTCTTTAGAAGACAATGTACAGAAGAGAGTAGAAGATTTAACACTGTCTTCTGAGACTGAAACTGATTTGCTTCACCACTCTAACACATTACATTTTATGTCAACTGATAATGAACAAATTGTGAACTCAAAGATCACATATGGTAACTCACTAATGAACAACACTAAGCCTAAATACAGTGATTTGCAACTTTCTGCAGTGCCTTGGACAAATGTTACAGATAATTTAATTAAACAATGCAAGTTATTGTCAGAAAGTCGAAAAGATGAGCATGTGTCTTTATGGAGGATTCCAGTCAAAGTATGGGCAGTATTGGTTGTATTTATTACTGCAAGTACTATATCAAGGTATACTATTTTGATAAAGTATGGTTGAATTTTATAGTTTATTAGATAATAATTTGTAATTCCAGTTGAAAATTGCTTCGCCAAATAAAATGATGTAGCAGATTAATTTCAATATTATAGATTTTCACTATATTCAATTCATTACATTTTTTTACTAGGATGACAGCCTTTGTATCCATGAATGTACTGGTTGGAAATGCTTGTCTAGTAAGTTATGTTTGTAACACTTTCCAATAACAATCACTTTGTTACAGTCGTATTAGCTAATGATCGGTTCAAAACAGAGCTGAAAACTCACACTTGGACCTTTTCAGTCATAAATACTTGAATTTATGTAGTGCTATAGAATTTATGTAGTGCTATAGAATTTATGTAGTGCTATAGAATTTATGTAGTGCTATAGAATTTATGTAGTGCTATATGATTATTAATTCCAGGCAAAGGATAAAGGAACAGTATATGGAGTTGCCCAGTCTCTGACTGCACTTGTTAGATCAACTGCACCAGCTGTGGGAGGAAACATTTTTGCTTGGAGTGAACATAACGGTATTTAACTTAAAATTCATTTTTGTAAGGTAATCAACAAACATGCTCAATTAAAATTTTGCACTACTGAGCATGTTATTGCACATATATGCAATGCCATATGGGAGATAACTTCCCATTGTTTATAACTTTGAAAATTGCTAAATTGTATGTTAATTTTATATACCGGTATATGTATGTATGTATGTTAAGGATTCTGATGCAAACCATTTTGTTTTTCAAATCAAATCAAAATGGCTGACAGACAGCCATTTTGTTTTAATAAATGTGGTTCAGGTTCAGCTGTATCTCTAATATGCCTTGACCAACCATGTTCAAACTTCATATGTATGTCATACATCTTGGCGCAAATATACACATCTATTTGTTTGACCATCAGTTTCAACATGGCTTGAATGACAGTCATTTTGATGTTAATGGGGCATAAAAATCAAACATTTATGCCATTCTGGACCAAGATTTTGGTTATACAGCTTTTGTCGATCTTTTTACATACATTGAACAATTGTATATAACAGAATCATAATGCTGTTCTAGAGATATGTCTATGACATAAATTTAATAACTGATAGCAATCAAACTTTACAACTACATTATACATCATGTAATTAGTTTCATGTTCTGATTTCAGCTCTATATACTGTTAAACTAAAGGTTTAAAATAGTTAAACCTTAGTACATGAGCATGTCTTAAACTTAGAAGGATGATGACAGTGCTACAGATATGCCTTTTTCTGTTATTTATGTATGTGACACATATTTGTACACCTTAAAGGATGTAACTTATAAAATGCTAATTGTTGGCTTTTTGCTAATATTTCTACAGTAAATTTTACAAAAAAATATGATATTATCTAAGTTGTGTGTATTTGATTGTTTTTTCCAGACTTACCTTGGCCATTCGACTATCATTTGACATTTTATTTGCTGTCTGTCATCTTGATCTTCACTTGCTTTGTAAGCTGTCTGTTACCAACATCAGTCAACAAGAAGCGAACAGAAGAAGATACAATTGCATAAATCAAGCAATCATTCCAGCAAGACATTTCATTTTTTGTTGTTTTTTGTTGATGATTGCTTTTAGTGTCCTACGCAGTATTTAAGTTATCAACACGGTTAATACTTCAGTTGAAGTAGAAGTAGAAAAATATTTTTATTGCTATAATAATCTGCAGCTGACAGAAAGAATGGTACTGTGTTATAGGCTAATATAACTGATATTTATTCAGTCCATCCAACTAGAATTCATAAACTGATATTGATATACATGTATGTCAATACTTGTCACTAAGTTTGACAGGAATATCGCCAAAATATAGGGAAATGCACTGATTTGAGAATTATTGTATCGTGTATATATATCAATGGGAAGGTGGAGTGCTTCTAAACAATGCAATATCAAAAAGCTCAACATGCACATCATATTACACGTTATGAGTGATTCTACACAAAAAGTAATATAATATTAGACTTCAACCAAAAGTAGAACAAAGACAAGTAATAATGAGTTAGAGAGAAATATTATTTTTTGTAATGATCAGTGCATCTTCATTAGCAATTTTCTGTTCATTTTATCTACATTATTGGGATTCCCTTCACCATAAAA